ACTTTGGGGTACAGCCTTTTACGGGCCCAATCTTTACTACCCCCTCCTCCTCCTATCTCCAATTTTGGTTTTCCCAAAATTTTTTAAATTCAGAAACATTTTAAAAGCCTTTTTCAGAATTTTTTCCCGGACTAAACCTTCAATGGACACTAAAACATTCCTGTTCCTTCTCTTCCCTCTCCTCCATTTTCACAACCCCATTCTTCGAAAACGCCCCCGTTCCTTCGCTACTTGAACATTTTCCCCAATGCCACCACACGTTGCTTTTCAAACCCCCTTAGCCGTGGGTTGCCTTTACCTACAGTTTCCTGTTTTTTTCCTTCATCGCCAATCAGGGGCCTATTTACAGGGGAAATCCGGGGCCCTCAGGGGTAATGGGGGGGGGAGTTCAGTTTGCTTTCCAGGTTTCCCCCCTTTTGGGTTTCCCTTGCTTACAAAAACCCAAAAAATTTTCCTGGGCTTTTTTCCCAAACCTATCTCGGGCTAAATTTTAATTGTTTTTTCTTGGATCCTTTCTCGGGATGGGCCCTTTAAATAAAAGTCCCCTTCTTCTACGCAATGAAAAACCTTACGTCAACTATTTGTCCTTTACCCCCGCTTGCATTACACTGCACCCTACCCCACTTGAATAAGGGGTTTTACAATTTGTTCTTTATATCCTCTCCTTCTCGAGCTTTTTTCTATCCCAGATTTTTGCTTTCTTGTTAAATCCTTACCACCCCCACTTCTTTTTTAATTGGGTGTTTTTAATGCCCACCATTTCCTCGGGGGGGGGGTTTCTTTTGTGACTCACGGGGAAATTCGTTGGAGGCTTTTTTTCCCTCCACCCCCCCATTTTTTAAAAATAGGGTACTCCCCCCCCATTTTAAACCCCTCGAACTCATACCCCTCTTGCAGGGGAATCTACGGGTCTCCCTCTTCCTCCACTGCACTAGATTTCCCCGGGTCTGTTCTACCAGACTTACATGACAGCGATCTTTTTCCCGATCATTCTTATTCTCCCCCTATTAAACCACCTTCCCGTAACCCCGCTGGAAAATTTTGATGGGAAAATTGGGATTTTTTACTCACACCCCCACTGCTTTTAGTGAGGTTCCTTTTTAAATCCTCCATTGATGACCCCCACACATTTTCCCTCAAACATCATTTTTATCCCGCAGTTTCCCTCATTTAATCCCCCAAAAAACCTTTCGGGCAGGCATTCTCAAAAGGTGCGGGGCCCTTGGTGGTCTCCTGCTTGTGCCGTGCAGTAGTTTGAAACGTGCTGCATGGGGCGGGTACCGGAAAAATTTAAAAACCGTGAGAAAACTTTTTGATTTTAAAGCAGAACGTGCGATCGCCCCGCCGGGGCATCCGTGAAGTTTAAACCATTTGTTGGGGGAGACTATTTTCCCCCAATCCCCTCTGCTTTTTCTATGAGTGCAGTCGGAAAAAAAAAAGTGAGGAAATTGAGGGGAAATACTCTCCTGACCCGGCCCCGGGTTCTACGGGTCACTGGTTTTGGGGAATATAGAAAAACCCCCTCGACGTTGCCATTGAACTTGGACATTTTGGTCCGTATTTCCCGGGGGCCCCCATCTATGCCCCTCGTTTCTTTCCTCCCAAAAACTGGGCCCGAGATTAGTACCCCTTGGGCTTTTTTCTCCAGGAGAAAAACCGTATAATGTTTCCTTTTACACTTCAAGAACTGGAGGCAACGCTCTAGCCTGCCGACTCGGGGAGCTGGGGCCCGATTGGGCATTTCCAAAAATTTGTTTTGTTACAAACCCTTTTTCATCGGGCCCCCCCTTGTTTGTCCTTTTACACCCTTTTTTTCAATCTTATTTGGGCCAAAAAAGGAGTTTTTTCCCCAGCTGTGGAAATCTGCCATTGTTTTCCCCCTTTCCCCCCAAACCGGGGACTAAGGAAAATGAAGCCTCCCCCTATCGCCCCAACGCTCCCTTTCAAATTTCAGTTTGCAAAGGGGATGGAACCCTCGTTTAAAAAAGACGGTTTTAAAGGGTTTTTTAGAGACTCACAACAGTCTCTCCGCTAGTCCCAAAATTTTGGGTTTCGTAAGGGTCGTTTACCATAGACCCCCTTATACGCCCCTTTGGTTTCGAAGTTCGTAAAAGCCCTTTTTCGGGGAAAAATCACTCAGTTTTTTGCCATATTTTTTGACCTTGGGAAAAGGCCCTTTACACAACTTTGGGGGTATAAAATTTTGGCCCAGGCCCAAATTTCCTTTGGGCCCCCGAGGCAATCTACCATCCTTCCTTAAAAAACTTTTTTAATGCGACATTTTCCCCTGTTCGAGTCAATAATGTTTCCTTTTCCCCCGGGCTTTGTCCAAGCGGAAAAGGGGTCCCCCCGGGAGGGTTTTAAGCACAAAAACTTTTTTTTCCTTGCTATAAATGATTTGGCCTCTTTTTCCCCTTTCCCCCAATATTTGGTTTAAACACTCAGGGGTGACTTCGCTATTGCTTTTGCAGGCGCTTTACTGTCACCTTATTGCAGTTTTCCCCAGCATGCGGTCGACCGGGGTTTTTCCCCCTTGGGCCACCAAACATGGGTTTTAAAAAATTTTTAAGTACCAAAAAATCACCAAAATTTCTTTTTTAGACGCTCTGTTTTTCTCCATATCCTTTTATCTCTATGGCTTTCCCCTTTCCCCCAACGTGAAACAGTCATGTTTCTAGGGCCTTTCTTTGACCGGTTTGGTTAACCGGGAAAACCCCACATTCCCCTTTAAGGCAAAATTGCCCCAGCCGGCTAAACCCTTTTTAAAACCCTTTTCTCCAAACTTTCCTTTGGGGGGCTGATGTTTGAAAAACCCGCTTTTGCCTTTTCATTAGCCCCCCGTTTTATCGGGAAAAATCGATTTTGGTGACCGATTTATTCCCCGGCCCCCTCCTGCAACCCCTCTTAGCCTTTAAATCATCCTCACCCCAAGGGTTACTTTTTTGCCTTTGGGGCTTTTCGCTCTTCCCCCGTTTGGAAGCCTCTATACAGAAGCAAATGTTCCCTCCTTGTCTGAAACGCCGTTTATGCCCATTGGGCCTTTGTTACTATGTACGCTCTCACACTTCACAATCCTTTCCAATTTTTAGAAGGGTCACTGAAATTATTTGACATTTTTTATTCTTCGCCGCCCCCGTTTTTGCTCCTTTCCCCCCTTTTCTTCGCCTACATTCACTCTTGTCTTCCCTTTAGTTCCCCCCTTAAAAAGTTCATGTAAACATCTCACTTTTCCCGCCCCCCCGGGAAGTTTCCCGCTTTTTTCGGGTCTGTTCTTCTCACTCCCTTGCTCGAAAGCCCAAATGCCCCGGGTTTGGGTTCCCGCTCTCTTTTTTTTGGGTCCCCTTCCACCCCAAATTTTCATGCCACCGCTGTTTTACACAGATGGTTAAAACTTCCCGACGGGTCGGTTTTGCCCGGGAGGGGTTTCCGGGCAGGCGTACGGGGGGCATTAACAACTTCAGTGCAATTTTTTCTGCCCCGAACTGATCCATTCTTTTCAGCACTTTTGTATTGCAACTTGCCTGGTCATTTAAATTTTTAGAAATCTAGACTCCCTTTGGCTCTACAGGCTATACGAAAATTTGATACATCTCCCTCCCCCAGTTCTCCGTATCCAAAATTTGGCTACGCCAAAATCTCCCACCCAAAAATAAAGTTTTTGTTTTTTTTTGGGTCCCCCGGGAAGCGAGTACAGGGGGGAAAAAAAAAAGGCAGACACTGCTGGGGCGGGGGTTTTTAGCAGTATATGACCTACCAATTTCCTATCGAGGTGGGTTTTATTTCTGGACTATTTTGGGTGCAATAGCTACCCACCTTCGCACCCCCCCTTGGCAAAAAAGTTGGTTTAAATCTGTCGGGAACAAACTTCATTTATTAAACCGACATAGGTTACGGGGCCCTGATTCTTTTCATCATTTCCCAAGTTGGGAGACCACTCTCTCCCGCCCTTCGCATTGGGGCCCCAAAACCCTTTACTCATGGGTTTTTTCATGGGAAAAAGGCACCCGTTTTCCCCTCTGTGGCAGTTGAAGTTCCAGTAAACCCATTAGCCCATTTGTTAGACTGCCCCTTTTCCCTTTAACGAGCACGCAGAATTTACCTCCAACGTCTCTTCGTTTACACTCTCTCTTTTCCTTCCCTTTTTGCTGATGGACCCTCCTTTTAAACCTGACTTTTTCATTGACTTCTTGAAAAGACCCATTTACTCCACAAACTTCGATGAAATTTTCGCACTTTCCCCCCAGCCCTTTCTGGCTCAGTTTTCTTGCTGCCCTTTACCCTTTTTACCCCACTGCCCCCCCTTTTTATCCGTAACCTGTTGGGTATCCTCTCCCCTTTTGGGCCCCTGATTTCCCTCAATTTCCCTTTCCCGCCCTGCCCCGCTGGGATAGTCCCTTGTGGTTAAAACGCTTCTTTTTGATTATAATTAAAAATAAACCACTGACTTTTTTGAGCCCTTCTATTTAAATTTTGGTTAACTTACTGAAAAGCCTTTCATTTCCCCTCTTAAAAATTTTAAAAAAAGAATGTGTTTATCCTATCAAAATTATATTGTAAAGGTGTCCATACTGAAACTATATACAGAAACCCTTTTGGTAGAAAAGGAAATTTTTTTTTGAATTGCATCCCTAAAAAAAATGTATAAACTTCAGGAAAGAAATTTTTTTATACTAGTGTTGGGTTTTTCTTACAAACTATAAATTATTTTACGGAAAATGCCATGATTTTTTTTTTGTTTAGCACATCCATGAGGGGTTTTTGGAAAAAAAATTTTCAAGGGTTTGAGTGCTTTATTTTTTTTGACATAAAATTTTAGCGGCCCCATATCAAACCCCCGGGTCTGTGAATTGGCCCCGTTTTAATGGGTAAACACCCCTGGGGGCACTATAGAAATCTTCAAAATTGCTCAGCACTGGTAGGCTACACTAGGTGGAGCTGAATATGACTTCCTGAACCAAGTGGAGGTGGCTTATATCACAGTTCACACTAATGATACTTACCCATTCCAAGATTCTTTCAGAACCTGGCTTCCTCCTCTTATAACAGGGACCGATCTGGAATGGGACACGCAAAAAAAGAAGTCATCGATGGAATTCACCATTATCTTTAAACTATAATTTTCTCTCACTTTATCTTGTGGTAAAATCATACTAGTTGGAAAATGTGCATATCCTTACAAGAATGGGTAAAATTTATCTAATGGGAGCCTCATCATTTTTGTTTTAAATTTTTTTCTCTATCCCATAATCTAAAGGTGTAATATTTTGTATCTTTCATAATGTATAATACAATGACTATCCTCTACATGGTCATCTAGTAACAGCTTCTGCAGGTTTCATATGTATATGATCAGCTATTGCTAAGGTAAACTAGATGTAATGATTTTTTGTTGATTTTGGTTGAAGGCCACATTTTAAAGATTAAGCAAACATATTTGTCACTTCTTCATGTGATATACAGTGTAAAAACAGTACTAAAATTAATAATTTATCAGTGTACTGTATGTATTTTTAAAATTTAATACATCACCCAGTAATTTGTCCCTTTTTTTTTTATTGAGCACAAGTGCTGTAGCCATTGATGATCACTACCATCTCATCCAAGTTTAATTTCCACATTACAGTTAAGCAAGTCAAGCTTTCTTTCATGTAGGTGGCTGTGGTTGTATGTCAAGTGCTATGTTCATTTGAGGGCAAAACTATATTTCAAGCAATTCAACCATTGCCATTGCTGGAGCTTCACTATGGAATCTAAGGAAGGCTTATCTATCCCATGATTACTATAACAAAAGTAGCCATTTTTTTTTTTCATGTAAACTAGGAGTAGGCTAATGTTTAGAAGAATCGTAACAAAGTCAAGCCTCATCTGCCAAGCCTTAGACCAAACAAAATTTTTCAAGAAACACCCAGTTGGGCCCCTACTTAGTGCTACATGAATTTGGGTAGTGGTTGTAAGGAAATTTTTTACCATATTCTACCCAGCCTGAAAATCAGAACCTCAGTTGTGACCCAAATGTTCTGACCATTGAACCTAGGGCAAAGCCAACATTTCCTCTTTATTCCAGGGATATGGATTACAGTCATGTATGCCACAGTTTCAAAATCACATTACCAAATTCAACTTTTGATACAGAAAGTTAACAAAAACAAAATGAAAGATTGTCAAGGGGAAGATCAAAAAAAATATTTTAAACTACACTCAAAACTATAAGTCACCAGGTGTTTTGGATATGGGGCCAGTCCCCACCACCCCCCCCAGCAATGCCGGGATGCCAGGCAAGAGCCCAGAAACCCCGACCCAGGGCAGAGTGGGAAAACTCAAAACCATAAAAAGTAATATAGATAGGGATAAATCAGCTGTTAATAACATAATGAAACTAACCCAAAAAGAAGCACAAAATGGGTGGTACCTTGACCTAAAAAGCTCATGTTTAACAAAAAAAATTAAAAGATGAGCACAAAAATAGCTCCCACAAAAAAGAGAGGAATGTGAAAAAAAGTTAAAAATGAAATACTGTTGACTGGTAGGAGGAAAAGGGGACATGACTACAATACAAGGTTATAAAGAGAGTAAGGAGGATTTTTATTACTGTAACAGGACAAAGACAAGAAAAAAACCTCGCGTAAAAAGCATTTGGCGCTGTACAGTTGACCCCCCACCTTTTTGCTGGTGAGGGGCTATGATCCAAGGAATGAAACCTTCTCCCCTTGGATAAAAACCTGAATGCCCCAGGTGCTACATGGAAGGTGCAATGGAAGCAATAGGAAGAGTACAGGCAGTCACAAAATTATGATGCAAAAAATAAAAAAATTGGGAATGAATGTATGATCATTTATTTTGTTTGCTATGTGTAGTTATATATGCATACGCATTTGTGTATGACCACAGATGTATGTGGTCCATATATTATAATATATATATATATATATACAGTGGACCCTCGACTAACGCTATTAATCTGTTCCTGAGAGCTCATCTTTTAGTCAAAATAATCGTTAGTCAAAAAAATAACAAAAAGGCACAAACCGTGACGGAACGATACACAAATAACCCGCACATAAAGACAGAAGTTTACGACGACGTTCGGTCCGACTTGGACCATTGACAAGTCACCTACGTTTTTGAATTACACACACACACACGTTGACTTTGTCAATGGTCCAAGTCGGCCCGAAACATCGTCGTAAGCTTCTTGTCTTTTATGTGCGGGTTATTTGTGAATCGTTAGTCAATTTAAATTTTTTCCCATAAGAAATAATGGAAATCAAATTAATCCGTGCAAGACACCCAAAGTATTAAAAAAAAAAAATTTAACACATGAAATATTAATTTTAATACACACAAACTGAAGAAGACATGCACGTTACATGACACTTACCTTTATTGAAGATCTGGTGATGATTGATGGATGGGAAGAGGGAGTGTGTTGATGGGCTTAGTGTTTAGAAGGGGAATCCCCCTTTCCCTTAGGATTGAGGTGGCAAGTCCTTTTTTGGGGTTACTTCCCTTCTTCTTTAATGCCACAAAGGGCCAGCTTGAAGTCACTGGACCTCTGTCCCCCACAACGTAAACTGCCCATAGAGGGGCCTTTTACCTCCCGTTCTTTATGACATTCCTAAAGTGTTTCAAACATTGTCAGTGTCACCATAAAAAAACTTGTTCAGGTTTCAGTCCTTCACTGTCTATGTACTCCTTGAATTCCTGCACATATTTTTCAGCTGCTTTTTGGTTTCCAAACTGGGAGCCTCACCATGCCTTATCAACACTATGTATGCCACTACGATTCTTAAATCTCTCAAACCAACCTTTGCTGGCCTTAAATTCACTCACATCACCCCTAGTTGCTGGCATTTTTTCTAATTAAATCGTCATGCAACTTCCTAGCCTTTTTACATATATCGCTTGAGAATTGCTATCTTTCCCGCTATCTGTTTTTCGTTTTTCCATTACCCAATAACAGTCCCCTCAACATCTTCTATCACTTGCGAACTCAGTTTCGAAAACATAGTTGCACCTTTGGCAAGAACAGCTTCCTAAGATGATTAAAAATAAGATAAGATTTGTTCGGAGTTTTAACCCCGGAGGGTTAGCCACCCAGGATAAACCCAAAAAAGTCAGTGCGTCATCGAGGACTGTCTAAAATTATTTTTCCCTTGGGGTCCTTAATCTTGTCCCCCCGGATGCGACCCACACCAGTCGACTAACACCCAGGTAAACCCAAATTTTCTGCTAGGAACAGGACAACAGGTTTTAAGGAAACGTGATGGTGAATTCCATCGATGACTTTTTTTTTTTTGCGTGTCCATTCCAAATCGGTCCCTGTTATAAGAGGAGGAACCAGGTTCTGAAAGAATCTTGGGAAGGGAAATTTTCATTATGGAACTGTGAATAACCCCTCCACTTGGGTTTAGGAAGTCGTATTTAGCTCCCCCCAGGGGTAAATGGACAAG